ACATGTTAGCATCTTCCTTCAATGTTTCATTATTTTAAATTTATTTTCAGAAGATATTTCTGGTTGCTACCCCACCTCTGATGTATTTCTAAACCTAATCAATTAAATAACTTTAGAAATAAATTTGAATAAACCTTTGGGTAATACTCATCTCCTCTTAGGGATGTCAAATGGGCCGGGTTAGCCCCGGACCCACTTTTAATTGGGCAGATTCGGGTCTAAATAATATGTTTCGGGGTGAATTGTGAATTTAAAATTTTAAATTCGGCCGGAGTCAAGGCGGATTACGGATTTTACTAAAAACCCGCCCCAATCCGGACCCAGATATTTTTTAAAATTATTATAACTAATATATATATATGTATATTTATATAATAAAAATATATTATTTATTTACTCAAATAATTTTAAATATAAAATTCAATTAGTCGTCTGCTCCAAATAATTTTTTAAAATTATTATACATAATATATGTATATTTATATAATAAAAATATATTATTTATTTATTTATCTTATTTTTATGGATCAATATTTGATTGTTTTTAGATTTTTTTTTTGTGCTTTTAATGCTATTTGTTTTAGTATTTGATTGTTAAAAAAATATTTATTATTATATATTTTTAAAAAAACGGATTTGTCAGGTTGGCCCCGAATCCTTCGGGTTCGGAGCGGGGCGGGTCCTAGGGCCGGGTTGAAGCGGGGCGGGGCAGGTCTCGGAGCCTAATATTTTCTAGCGGGGCGGGTCTTGGGGCTTGCAGAACCCGTCTCGAATCCGCCCCATTGACATCCCTACCTCTTAGCTTACATAATTTGTCCATCATTTATTTTTATTTATCTTATACTCCCTCCGTCCAGGTAGAAAGTATACATGTTTCTATTTTGGGACGTTCAATTACAAAGTAACTATTTCATTAAATACCCCATTTTTTCCACAAACGCCCCTACTTTACACCACATCATTACTTTTATACCAAAAAGGTAAGGGCAAAAATGTCATTTCATTACTTTTACCTACCCACTATAATTAAAATACTATTATTCTTTAATCTCCGCGCCAAAAGTAAATGTATACTTATTTTGTGGACGGAGGGAGTATCATTTATGATTTTTTTAGTAGAAAAATAATTATATATTTTAATCATATTTTTAAATTTAATAGTAATTAATAATTAATACTCCTTCCGTTCCATAACAAAGTATCTATTTTTCTATTTTAATCCGTCATATAACAAAAAAGTATCCATTTCATTTTTTTTAATAACTGTACTATCTACCTATCATTATAAATATCTTTACAACTTACAATATATTACATAAATACTATTACTTTTATATCACACGTACTAATAAGGTTATTTTAGTCATTTCTTTTTTATTCCTACTATATCTCAATATAATATTAATATTTTTAAAACTACGTGCAAAAATCAAATTGAGATTTACTTATGGGACGGAGAGAGTAATTTTCTAATTTTAATTTTAATTAAATTAATTAACTATTTTTATCTTAATATATAATTGTTTATATTATATAATTAATATATTTTTTTCAAATATAATTTTTAATTATTTATTAATTATATTTTACTTAAGTTTTTGTATTTATATTAAGCTAGACATATAAGGTAGGACGCATAGAGTAATTATCACCAAAATTTTACAATTTTTTTTTTTTTATATTATCTTTAATTTCACTAGTTTGGACTAGGTGTTTCTCCAAATAAATAGATATATATATACATATATACTTTTTTTCATTTCGAAACAATGACCAATTTATTTAATTTGGGATATAATATTGAAAGTAATGTGGTTTAATTAGTTTATAATAATAAATTATAATATTTTTATGTAAATAATATTATTAGTAATTTTAAATTTAGAATGAATATATATAATTAAAAATGAAAATAAATATTTTAAAATTTTATAGAGAATAAAATTTTATAGATTGCAAATAAAGAAAAAAATTATTTATATATAATTATTATAAACTAATTTTATAAAAAAAATTATTTTAAATATTAATAGAAAATGTTTATTTATTAAAAAGAGATAATAATAATAAGAGTTTTGATTTTCTTTTTTTTTTCTGGAATTTGAACCCATTATCTTACGGTAATATGTCTAATCCCTACACCACCAAACATCCCTTCCCTTACAGGATAAATTTTGATTGATTTTACGTAATGTATATTGTTATATTTTATAAAATTAATTAAATAAATTTATATTTATTAAAAAAAAAATCATTTGTTAATGTACTAGAATAAAAAATATTTTTTTATTATAGAAAAAAATAAAATATTTTTAATAAGACATCACATTAAAAATGATTTAAATTTAAAATTCAAACTAAATATTTTCACTCCAAATCCAAATAAACACATAATGCTAAAATAACACAACATTATTTCTTCGGTAATTAAAAAATTTCCCCACTTGCTTTGTGCCTTTGAAAAGTAAGAGTGCTATGACCCGTATCTATATAATAAAGATTTTTATTATTTTTTTTTTATGTCTAAAGTTTTATTATTATTATTATTATTATTATTATTATTATTATTATATTGGTGATACTAAGTGTCAAGATTGAACCAATCTAAAGATATGGGGAAATTTTTAGGTTCGAACATTAATGTTTTTTTTTTTTTTTTTTTTTTTACAACCACACACTCCATATAGGATGACTTAGTAGCCTGAGTGTTTTATACTCACTCCGTTCCATGTAATATAGGTGTATTACTGTAGACACGGGAATTTAGATAAAGTATAATTAGTAAGTAATTAAAAAGTATATTAGTAAAAATAATTACTCCCTCCGTCCCTATTCTATATATCCATTTGCTTTTTGCACGGAGTTTTAGAAATATTAGTATTATATTGGGATAAATTAGAAATAAAAGTAAAAAGACTAAATTAACCTATTAGTATTGTATGATATAAAGGTAATGACATTTGTGTAATATATTGTAAATTAGAAGGGTATTTGTAATGTTAGGTAGATAATACAATTACTAAAAAAGGAAACGGATACTTTGTTATGGGACGGACCAAAATGGAAAAATGGATAGATTGTTAAGGGACGGAGGGAGTATTATTTAGTAAAAATAATTATAGGTTAAGATTAAGATAAGTAAATAGTTTAATTTAAATTAAGAAAATTATAAAATTTAAAATTTAAAATGCGATTAAAGTGCATAATTATATTTCTAAAAATAAAAAGGACAAGTTATGCGGGACGGACGAAAATAGAAAATATAGACAAATTATGTGGGATTGAGAGAGTATTTAAATTATATTATTGTATATGATATGCGATGATAGTTTCAAATTTGTTATCGATAGTTTCAAATTTGTTATCACCAACCATTCCTTATTGAATGACTATATAATATATAAAGAATTTCTTCGCCCAATCAATTTTTTTTACTATACAATTTCTCTTCTATCATAAAAATAAAAATTCAATATAAAATACTACCTCCGTCCACCGTCAATTTATCCATTTGTATTTGGCGTTATTGTTTTTAACATTAAAAATATTCTTATATTTGTATAACTTTTTGTAGAAATATCGTTACATTAGTGTTATAAGACACCAATAGAATTATTTTTGTCGTTTTTCTTGGATTTGTACTATGTTTTGATATAATAATTAATATTCAAATATTAACATGCAAAAACTAAACAAATAGATTTGCGATGGACGGAGGTAGTATTACTTTTTTCGTTTCATCTGAATTAACATATTTGTCATTTTTTTCTATCACACAATAATTAATATATTTCCATTTTGAATAAAATTTACTAAATTAAAATATATCTAACAAATATAAATCAATTTAATTAACTATTTAACATTTACCATATAACCTCGTACATGTATGATCTACTCAAATCCTCTTTCTATCTACTCACTTATTTTATAAAATTAGTTTATGTTAATTATAAATAAATAAATATATATTTCTTAGTTGTATTATAAAAATTTTATTCTTTACAAAATAATATCGATATTGCATATATTTATTATTGCGATATAGTAATTTTTAAAATATTTAAATACATATTCTAATTTTTTAATTATATATATTGAATTTATTTTAATATTATCAATATTATTAATTACATACAAAATATTACTTCCTTCGTCCCTTAACAAACTATCCATTTTTTCATTTTAATTCATCCCATAATAAAATATCCATTTTTTTAGTAACTGTAACGTAACATTACAAATACCGTTACAATTTATAATATATTACACAAATGTCATTACCTTTATATCATACAATACTAATAAAGTTATTTTAGTTATTTATATTTTATTTCTACTACGTCTCAATATAATATAAATATTTTTAAAACTTCGTACAAAAAGCAAACAGATACATAGATATGAGACCAAGAGAGTATCGTAACTTACTATAATTAACTAATTAAATATTATTATCTTAAATATTGTATCATTAATGAAAAATCTCAATTGAGTCTGAGATAGAAAGAATATTTGATATCACTGATTGTTCATACCTCACACTAAGAAAAATAAAGAAAAAAAAGGTTAGAAACTAAAATACTAATCAAACAAACTACAATATATAATCACAAACTACAAGGATGGATATACATTCGTCAAATGTCCTTGTTGGGCTCAAAGTAAGATAAGAAAGACTGAAAGAAGTGATCATGGCCCAAGGAAAAAGACGAATCAGAAGTTACAAGAGTTATACATGAGATAAATGAACTAGGAATTCATGGGGAAGATGCTTGGCTAAGAGTGATAAAATTAATGAAACACATTAAAGAGGAGAGAAATAAAAGAGAGAGAAATGAGAATAGACATCATTGAACACAACAAACAACACTAAACTTTATCCATTTTCTTTTTTCGTTTTCCTCTATTTTTGTTCGATTCCCCTTGCATTTCTTATTCAACTTATCATACATTTAACCCTAAGCCAGAATCTGTCTGTATTGAAATAATTGAGATAAAAAAAATTAGGTAATTAAATTTAACATGATTCCAATAACGCAAGTAGATTCGGATCTACAAATTGATGAAAGGTTTTGTGTTCTTCAAACTTATGACGCAACTCCTAAAAAAATCTCTAGGGTTTCCGCCATTACGATGAGATATAAAAAATAATGGATGTTGCGTCTAAACCTGGGATTACAATCCTAATTTATATCCTTAATTATTAATTGGCCTCGTTACCCAATTAATAAGTTATCGGATTTCTGCACCTAAGAGACCTGCACTTACTAAATACATTTAAGTCCAATAATTTAATAGATCACTTAATAGGCTTAATCTGACTGATAGCCCAAAATAGTTATATTTAACCCACGGGTGAATTCTTAATCCAACATTTCTTGTTTATGCATCTTATCCCTGTTTTTTGGTTTCAAATCCAAGTTTGATTCGTTTGGTGTATTTGTTCTTGGTGAGATTCTTGTTTAATCTCATTTTCTTTACAAATCCACCTAACACAAAACAATCTATTCTTAAGAGATTTCAAGAATATCTTATAGGATCCGTTCACTCATTTTCCGACTATATATACATATATATTGTAATGTCATACATAATGGAAGCGCAACCAACTTAAAAGACATGCAACATTTTTCCAATATTACAGGCCAATTGTTTTACGTTTCATTTTAAATGTACATACGAAAGAAATATTAAATAATCCTTATATCCTATATATTCACTCATGATCTTCGTCAATTATATAAGCATAATTAAATCTGTGTTTTTTCATTTCACAAATCTCTTTCAAAACATATCTAAACAAAGCCTAATTCGTTTTATTAAAAAGGTAATTGCTGAAAATAAATTTTCAGAAAGGTCATGAACTAATTTATAAGCAAACGTCTTAAATCAATGTACAAGGAACTTACAGATTATAGAGTCAGATATTTCTTGAGTGTCGCCGGAGCTCAACAGCAGAATGACTCATGAGATGCATTATGAAGAGAAATAAAACACATGACCGGCATCCTGATCGGAAGTAGAACCTTATAAACTCCCCTCAAATGCAGACAATCATCATAATTATTATACTTTACACAGCAAGAAATCTGACCCTGCTCCTTCCCCCATGCTTCTTGTTGTAGTTAATGAAGCTGCAAGAAGTTACGATGAAACTCATAATGTGTATATATATATATGTGTGTGTGTGTGTGTGTATGCAATCAGAAACAGGTGTAGTAAAATCTGAAGCTAAAACACTGCAAATACAGATACTATAAATATTACTGGAAAGTATTGTTTCGGTAGCATGTAAAAATAAAAATCGAGTTGAAGCATCGAATAATGTTAGAGTGAAGGCTTATATCATGCAATTTTGTTGTCAGAGACAAATGACTCAGATAGTAGTAGATGGCAAACCAAGTTTCACAAGTACTTCATAGACAAGGTGGCATTAGGTCGGTAAAAACCAGGAAGATTGAGTTTTGCTGAGTGGTTCCCCCTGGTCTAAAGGAGGAACTGCAAAGTACAGTAAAAGTTATGCAGTTGAAAATCCCATCCAGCCCGTAAGTGAAGTAAACAAAAGAAAGGTATGATGACCTATACCAAGCAAAATGTGTATATTTGGATGTTTACAAGAACCATGCCACGTTGAAGGTGTAACGACATTTAAATACAAGTCATTCTAACATTAACATAGAAATTATTGCTCACAATGCAATCCATCACGAATTCCATTGTTATGAATCCAATATTCACAGCACAGCACATATGTATTGATAGATGTGACATCAACCAACCTCCATAATGAATGAATCATGCCATTATATTTGAACGTCAAAACAGAATTACTGGACATTACTTGGAAAACTGGTAAGTCTTTGTTATCGCCATCATACTCTTGAACCAAGGAAACCTGAAGATTAAGCAATGAAAGATCTTGAAATGTAATATATCGAAAGGCTAGCGGAAGAAAACTAGGTAACAAAACCATATGGGTACAGAATAAACCCTATCATATAGTACATAATATGCAATCAACATGCAATCTCATATTACCTATTTACCTTATCTTTGATCAACAAAATAAATACTATTGTGATTGCTGGAATGTCTATCTTTGGTTCGTACTTGCAACAATAAATGAGGAAAGAGTAACTTTATACAATTCAAAATCATGGATTCAACAGTAGTAGTGTGCAGAAAAATTTAGCACCCACATCAAAAACCACATTCAGAGGCAAACCTAAACATGTGTCATGTTAATGAAAAGAATGCCTTAAGTCAGGGGAGGGAGGGGTGTTGGTAGTTGAAAGACCCATACATCAATAGTGAGAAATTTAGATGAGCATGAGACTGGAGTTACTTATGGAAACTAAAGCAGCAAACATTTGAACTATAAGTTCATTACCTTGAAAAATGATCACAAGGAAAAAAATTAGGGTCACGAAACATGCAATAAGATTGCTACTCAGTGACGATGATCCCTTCTCCTTTGTTTTCTTCAAGGTTCTTATTCTTTCCAATCTTTTGCGTTTCAAGTTGAGCTCAGAGATTTCTTTCAGTAGCATCATATCAGAAGCATGTAATGAGGGACCTCTGGGTGGACGAGGAGGCTTTGAAGGCTTAGCAGAAGTATGCCTCTTAGGGTTTTCCTTGTCCATCCTCTTATCTACAAAATCCACTATCTCCTCCCGAATCTTCTTCATCTGCTCCTCATTCTTGACAGAAATATCATCAGAAGTAATAAATTTGTTGAATGGATGTGAACAATCTTCAAATTTTGTCAAGCCACAGAGAGAATATGAGCTCACAAGTCCACTTGCTTTTCTATCAAGGAGATATTCTGATTTTTTAGAGCTCAAAACATTGCTTTTGCTTGCTTCTTCATCGCTCGTCCCCCCACTTTCCAAATCAATGTCTAAGTCTAAATTAGTTGAACTTGTATCTATTTGATCCATGCTCCGAAACCTCCTTCGGAACTTAACAATGCTGCCTAGCCTCTTTCAAATTAAATAAAAATAAAATTAGCTAACAGGATAACAACAGCTACGAGATGAAAAATTACAAAAGGTATAATCCCTCAGCTTTGACATATCCACAGAAGTTTTTCAAGGAATACACCAACAGTAAAGGAAAAAACTTCTATATAAAATGCATAGCTTTGGTATCATCTCAGATTCTAACCGTAGCAGTCATGAACTAAAAAGCATGCAAGAAACCACCATAAGACACAAAATCGATTCTAAGTAAATGGAAGATCAGTACAGGAGCCGTCAAGGACATGGAGGCAACATAATAAAAATCGAATAATAGAACCTAGAAAACCTACTTAATTCGTCTTCCAACTATGCCCTAATCTTGGCCAGCGAACCAACACCTACATCGTTCAGAAGCACTTGTTCAATTCTAAATCAGTGAAAAGATATTTTACTTGTGCTTTTTACTTATACTATAACATATTCATGTCTATTTCCAGTTTCAAACATTTCGCGCTGTCTCCCAAATGGAATTGCGCAACTCCCTTCAATTCACGGAAACCAAACTTAGGAGTGAAGAACACAAACCAAGCAGATGGATCGATATAGCATCAGAAGCAAATTAGAACAAAATTTCAGATCAAACACAAGAAAATTCACACAATGCGAAATAATTACCAGTACATGGTTATCAAGGCAACCAGATGCTCATACCTCTGAATAAGTGGGGAACCACGAAGCGGCTAGAGGACTGGCACGCCGCTGATTTCTGAGGCCACCATACTGGAGAAGAATCCAAACAAATATCCGGTTTTCGAATTATGGGAAATCGATCGAGTCAAAGTTCTCCAGAGAAGTAGCAAATACTTTTTGCTCACTTTTGTATTGCGCTTTTTGGTTAAAACCGGGTTTGTAACGCCGTGGAATTGGGCTTGGGGTTTTACCTTGTATTTTTCAAGATTTTCATCTTAAAAAATAAAAAAATAAATAAATAAATTAAATGTTGATTTTTTAAATATTACTTAATCTATCATTAAATATATATATATATATTCACTTTTTTAGCAAAAATATTATACTCCTTTGGAATTTTATAGTATATAATTATTTTTTTAAAATAAAAAATAATACTTTTGAATAAATAAAATAAATAAAAATAATAAAAAAATATTTTGAATTCAAATAAAAAAAATCTTTTCTTTTTTTCTTGTTATATAAAAATTAAAAAATACATTATATTAAAATCCGTGTCAAAACTAACTTAATAAATATATTTTTATATAACAAAAGGAGTATATTAAAATGTTAAATGTTATATTAAATACTTATTCAATGTAAGAATTTTCTTTTTTTTTTTTCTTTTTTTTTTTTTTTTTTTTTTTCGTTTTAAGAATTGTGGTTGTTGGAAGTCTACCTTAACAAATTTCTCGATAATACAATAGTTAATTTGCTCTTTAATCGGATCTATTGAACTCAGTCTAGACCCTTTAACCTAAACTCCAAGTCCAAAACCATTTATCCTAAGCCCCAACCCTTAAGTGTGTGAGTTCGTTTTGTGATATATGTAGAGATGGCATACCGTATCATATCGAAAATATCGATCGATATTAATATCGTACCGAACTTTTTGGTATGACGAAAATACATACCGGTACCGTACCAAAAATTTCAATATACCAAATTTTGATGTACCGAAATTTTCGGTACGGTACCGGTATATACCGTTTATACCGAAAATTTCAATTTGGGTACGATACCCCGGTATATACTGAAAATTTCAATTTCGGTACGATACCGGTATATAGCTATTATACCGAAAATATAATTTTAAATTTTAAAATAATTAAAAAAATTAATAAATATCATCATTCTCCACCACAAAAATATTATAAAAAAAATCAATAAATTTTCAATAGTTTACATTTTTTTTTATGATTTTTAAAAAATTAATAATTATTATTTATATTAATAAGTGAATTATTTAATAAAAATAATATCGGTACGATATCATACCGAAATATCAAATTTTTCGAAAATTTATTCACACCGTACCGAAATTTTTGGTATACCTAAATTTTTTATATTTTAGACACGATAGGATAAGTCGATATAGAGAGACGAGGGGTTTCGGGGAGAGTTTCATCCAATAGTTGAGAGAGAGAAGAGGACTGGAGTTTCGATAAGTGAGCGGTGAGTTTTGAGAGGTTTTCGGTGAGGATTCAAACACTTTCTTTGTGTCGATTTCGGTGGTATCGTGGCTTAGAGTGAAGAGCCGACTACTTCCAACCAGATTATCTCGGGTCGGGTCAGTTCACATCTTGAGCTGAACCGAAATCAAGAACCTTCCAAAGTTCAACCGGCGAAACAAGATTGGAGGAGAATTGGTCATCGTTGGTCGATATTCGGGACTGTTCATGCCTGGAGGAAGAAACCGGAGGAATAGATGAGAGTCTCTGTAGTTTGTAGTATGAAAGTAGTCGCTGGAGAAAAAGAACGTTGCCCAACCGCCTGGAGCTGTTCATCGCCGGTGGAGAAGGTGCCGCTGAGAAAATAACCGGAGAAGACGCCATGTTCTTCGATTTATCCAAGAAGCTTCCAAAACCGTCTGGTCGGACGCCCGAGGGAAGCCGCCACTGTCGTTGGTGTCGCTGCATCATTGTCAACAGGCCGGCTCACAGCAGTAGCAGGGTAATAGAGGTCTATATTTTAAATATTATCTATTATTATTATTAAATTTTAAAATTAAATTTTAAGTTTTAATTTATATTTTTTTTCTTTGTAATTATCCAATTTAATTTTAGAATTAAATTTTAATTTCTAATTAATTTTTGTTTCTTTCTAATTATCTACACTTTTTTACCTTACACCCTATCGTATTGCCTCCACCAACTCGATCAACCAATATAGCGGTTTTGTCCATGTCTTACATTATCTTTTATTTTTGTTTGTTAAGGTTTGTTCAACTTGAGTTCTCACACCATCTATATTTTGAATTATTTATTTACTATCGGTTATGAAAATTAGTTATTTAGCAATGAATAAACGTAGATTAGACTTTACAAATATGAAAAATAATGTTCAATTCCAATAAATACCTTCAAATGAAATAAAGTATGACTCTTATCAATTTTACTTAACTTATGATAATAATAAGGTTTTGAGACGAAAATATATACAGTGCAGAAAGATCAAATAAGAAATACATTATCTAAAATTTAATTCTGTAGAGCCAAAGGTATAAAGGAATAAAATATGAGAAATATTAATTTGAGAGCTCCACGGCCGATAATGAGATTTAGGTGCAAGACAATGATAAAAATTCGATTGAAAAATACTATGAAGTACGAAATATTTGGTTTATATTTGATGATACTTATCAACTTACTAGTCTTCAAAAGACTTATTTATTTGTGACACACACGAAAATAAACGATGTTTATGCTGTCTAGATTGGTATGACCGAATATGTAGAAGTTGCTACAAAATTCTCACTTGATCTTATGGTTAAAAAAGTCAGTAGTTGGTATAGCTTATGATTTATCAACAAGATTATAATAATTACCTAAAATCCAAAAGAACAAAGTATATGAAAATTAGGGGCATTGGAAAGGTGCTAGAATATTTTAAGGAATGCAAAGTAAGAACCCAAATTCTTCGTATTCCCTTCAAGTTGACGAAAATTATATGATTTGCGAACATATTTTGTGTTAATGGAAGAATGGGAGCATATTATATTAATTTTAGAGATAGTTTATTTTGACACTTAGGGTGTGTTTGTTTGGGGGTTTGGATTTGGGATTTGGATTTTTGAAAGATTTGTAAGTATGGATTTTTAAGTTGCGTTTGTTTGAAAGTTTGAATTTTGTAATGATTATGTTGGAAGAAATTATTATTATATTGAAAAAAGTGATGTATTGATGTCATAGTTTGAAATGAATGATATTTAAATATTGTTAAAATAAATTAAAGTAAAAAAGTAAAGTGATGTTAGAATTGATATTTTTAAAATAATTTTTTAAAAAAATTTTTTTGGAGATATTACTATTATTTTTATTTTTATTTTAAGGGTTTGTTTGTTTGAAGGTTTTGATATTTGTTTGGGGGATTGGATTTTAGATTTGGATTTTTGAGGATTTTGAAGTATGGATTTTTAAGTTGTGTTTGTTTGGATGTTTGAATTGTATAATTATTTTGTTGAAAGTAATTTTTATTCTATTAAAAAAATAATATATTGATGTGATAGTTTGAAAAAAATTATTTTTGAATATGGTTAAAAAATTATAAATAATAATGAAAAGTGATGTTTGTTTTGATATTTATGAAAAAAGTTTAAAATTAATTTTTGGATAAATCTTTTTTCTTTTTTTTTTTAATTTTTTAGGATGTCGTTATTTTATCAAATTCTTGCAGAAAAAGGTACTATTTATCTAATTTTATTTTTTTTAATTATCAAATAAAACACTTATTTTATTATATTATGATAAAAATTAATTTTATATTCAAATATTATATCAAAACTCATTTATATTACATTATACCACTATTTTAATACAAAATTTTTATTATTTTAAACCAACCAAAAATCCCAACACCAAACAAACACATGCCTTTAATTTTATTTTTTTTATATTCCGTAATGATGGGGAATGGAAAACATCCCTATAAAAGGTATGTACAATCCCTATTACATCCCAAGTATAGAAAGAATGGAAAATCGTTTGCTGATCTTGTTTGTTAATTATCACAAGAAAATAGTGATTTTCAGCACAGTACTACTCAACCCGTAAGTTTTCAAAAAAAAATGTATTATTTTTTTTTTTATAAAATATTACATCTAAATATTGTTTAAATTAAAAGTCAAATTAAAACATCAAACTCAAATCAAAACCAAACAAACCATTCAAACAAAAAAATTGTAATGTTTAATAAAAAAAAATAATTATTTTTAAAAAATAATTTAATAAAATTTTGACTTATTTATATACAATTAATAAATTAATATTTTATTGGAGAGTTATTTAAATTATTTGTGTAATTTGTGTTGAATAAATAAATTACTATCTTTATGAGAAAATTAAGAGTGTTTCTTTAGGTTTTTTTTGAGTTGGAGGTTTGAAGATTTGTTTAAAAAATGATTTAAGGTAAAGTATTGTAAAAAAGATTTGAATAAATAAAAACAAAACAAAACTTTAAAGAAAGCACCCCAAATTATTAATATACAAATAGGATTTGATCTGATCAACCTATATAAAGACGGACAATGTATATTTGACAACACATGATATAATTTCACTGAGCACATATCCCGTCAGCATATGATATAATCCTATATAATATAATTTATTACTGATTTAAGCACAATAAATATATTTATATAACACAATACAAATAAAAAAACTACATAACTCATATATCTATACGATACAACTATATGCTATGCTATATAAAGATATGCACCGACTGTCTTGATTATATGTGCTCGTTATGTTAATTTAAACCAATCAACATTATAACCACCGTCTACAAAGATATAACAATATAGTGATGAAAAAATATAACACTTTTAGCATGGCGGATGTGTAATGATTGTGGAGCTATGAATGGGTAATTAGGGTTGTCAAGATAAATTACCGTAGGTTGTGTTTTGTTCATGGATTTTGGTAAATTTCTATTGTGTTTGAGTTTATTTTTTTGAATTTAGACTGGATCTATATTAGGACTGGGAGTTTGCACGCCTATTACTGGCACGAAATAATGACCATAGAAACGGTGTCTTATGTCACAACTGAGTGATGGTGTACCCTATTTCGGCGAGGAGGGGGGGAGTGAACGAGCCTTGCCTGTGTGCACCGTTGACAATAGGGTCTATAGAGTTTTAACATTCTCATTTCAGTTGGATTAGACAATAAATCATTTCTAATTTAACAACCCATATGCATTTGTACCATTAACACATTTGTTAATATGATATATAACCAGATGAAAAATTTTATTTGTAAAATTAAATATTTCATTTTCATATTTATCTATCAAATCAAACTTTTATTTCAATTAATATGATAAATTTAATTTAATAATACTCTCTCTGTCCCGTTTATCATATTCATCTTTTTATTTTCGTCTATTAACTTATTGTGTCGCTTTTTTTTATGGAAAAGAATTATATATTTTAATCTCATTTTAATTTTTTAATTTTAATTAAATTAATTAATTATTTTAATTTTAATTTAAAATTATTTTTATTATATGATAATTATTTTTACTAATATATTTTTAATTATTTATTAATTATAGCTTTCTTAGATTTTTGTATCTACAGTAAATGGGACACTGTAGCCGGGACAGAAGAAGTATTAAATATTATGTCAATTCAAAACAAAACATCAAACTTTTATTTCAATTAATATTAGAGATTTGATTTAGGGTGCGTTTGACAACCGATAGTTTTTAGTTGTTAGCAGATTCAATTAATGTTAGCTGATTCAATTAGCTGGTTTGACTAACTGATTCTATTAGCTGTTTGTATTAAAGTGTTTGGTAAAATAACTGTTTGATATTAGTTATTTATACATAAAATGTTATTTTTTAAAATATTTAATTTTGTTTATTTTGGTTTGAAATTTATGAGAATTTTTGTTATTAATTATTGAAAATTATAAAAATATTATAAAATATTTATTTTTATTTTTATTATTTAGATCCGAGAAAATTATTTTTACTAAAAAATAATAATTTTCTATTGAAATTATTTAAAATATAAAATAATAAATCTCTCGTATATATTTTTATTATGTTAATTATTATTTTAATATATATAAATAAATTAATAACCTTTATTTTTTCTATTTGATTTAGTTTAAAAATTTATATATTTTACAAATAAAATAATTTATATGTAATAATTAATAATAGTAATTATTTTAAATTTATAAAAATAAAAATATAATTTAATAAATATTGCTATAAAAATATATTGATATGTATAAAATAAATAATTAAGTTTTAAGGGTAAATATTACATAACCAAAATTAAAATGAAAAAACTCTTTCAAAATGTTGGGTATATGAGCTTTTCAGAAATTAGATTTTTTAAGTCCAAAAAGCTTTTTCAAAAAGCTAATTTATCAAACACCTAAATTAGCTTTTTGACTGGTCAAACAGCTAAAAGGTGTTCAATAAGCTTAAGCTAAAAGCTTTTAAAAAAGCTCTTTTCCAAACACCCTCTTAATAATTCCGTCAATTCAAAACATAACATTAAGGGTGTGTTTGACAATTAGCTTATAGTTGTTAGCTGATTCAATTAGATATTAACTGTTAGCTTATTCAATTAACGAGTTTGACTAGCTGATTCAATTAACTGTTTGTATTAAAGTGTTTGGTAAAATAGCAGTTTGATATTAGCTGTTTATACGTAAAATGACAATTGAGGACATTTTATATTTTATTTTCAAAATATTTAGTTGAGTTTTTTCGGTGGGTAGACTTTTTTATAATTTTATTATTAATTTTAAAAATTAGAAAAAAATTAGTAAGATATTTATTTTTATTATTGTAAAAATATTTTGTAAAAAATTAATACAAGTTTATTGAAAAATATATATATATTTTATAAAAAATAAGTATAAATATAAAAGAGCAAAAATTATTAATATATGTATTTTTATTAGATTAATTTTTAATTAATATATATTTACATTAAATTTATAATTTTAAACAAATATATTCATTTTTAATAAAAATATTATGTGATAAAAAATGTTATATAATTGATTCAACAATATTAATATTTTTTATATTTTTTTTATTCTAAAAAATTTTAAAAAAATTATAAATAAGATAATTGATATATAAAAAATAATTATTTTAAATTTATAAATATGAATTTATAAGTTATTAGAAGAAAATATATTTAAATAATTAATAAATAGTGTAATAAAAAAATATATGAATATATATGTGAAAGAATTAATTAATTTTAAGGGTAAATAAAAAATAAAAAAAATTAAAATGAAAAAGCTAATATGAAATGTTGGTATATACAGCTTTTTCAAAAATTAGCTTTTTGGACCCAATAAGCTAATTGAAAACGCTAATTTACCGAACACCAAAATTAGTTAGTTTATTGGTCAAACAACTAAAATTGTTCAATAAACTAAAAACTCTTGTTTACCAAACACCCTCTGAACCTTTTTCTTTTTTCAATTAATACTACAAATTAAATTTAATAATATCAAATACACCATCAATTTAAACAATTACAAATTCAAATCATCACCTAAACACAATTACGAAAACTTAAACTTTATAAAATATATTCTGACTTTTACATTTATAATTTAAATATATATATGTATATATTTTTTAATTTTAACACGATCTATTTTTTTTTTGTTCAGGCTTCAAAATAACATGAGACGTTTCTGTATATAGATATAGATATGGTCAGGACAAGCCAATTTAATAAAGTCAATTCACGTTGACCGCTATTTGTACGATGTTCTAAACTAACATATTTGAACCGACATTGGATTAAATTCGGATCGAATTGACTAATTTTTTACTACCCAAACCAAAAGCGACAAACAAACTGAACTTTCATTTAATTTAATTTTAATTTTACTTTTAATAATAAATGAGAATTATCATATTGAATAAAATATCAATCGTAGGAAATTGTTCCACCTTCAAATCAAACGATGGCCAACGGTCATTTCCAGAAGAGGTGGAGCAAGACAGATAGATTTCAGTACGATAAGGCTCCTTCATCTCTCACCTCATCCTCGCCAATCGCTCAAAACGAAGCGGGGATATGGCCTTGAGATTGTTTGTGGCACCATCGCCCTTTTCGTTTTCTTGTTCGAAAGCCCACTCGAGAAAGCTCTTTCTCTTAACCTCCAAATCAAGTTTTGACGGGAGGCGGAGGCGGCCGAGGGATACGGATTGGGGTAGAGATAGGGATGGGTTGTCGGGGAGAGTGGGTGTGAAGACCTGCGTGAAATTGGAAGAGAAGAATGCGCCGGGGACTGAGGAGGCGTGGGGGAAGGTCTCGGCGGTGCTTTTCGACATGGATGGTGTGCTGTGTAACAGCGAGGAGCTGTCGAGATTGGCGGCGGTTGATGTTTTTGCAGAGATGGGGGTTCAAGTCACGGTTGAGGATTTCGTGCCTTTCATGGGCACAGGTGAACATTCTTGCCCTTGCTTGATTTCATTGCTGGATTTCTTTTTTCGACTTCTTTTTTTTATTTGATTTCTTGTTCAGTTCTTCACCAGTGCGTTCCATCTTGGTTTCTTTTCGTTATTGATGCTGTTTAAGCCTGTGTCTTGTGAGTTCCATTTTAGAAATGGTAGTCTTCTTTAAGAGGGGTTTAGGGAAGCTAGAGAAGCTACCATTTGGTTTGGCTTCCAAACAGTTATATCATAGTTAGTGATTATGGTAATGGCTAATTAAACTTTATCCATGAATCTTTCCCAAACTTTGACCTCCCAATTGAGAAGGCTATTGCCAAATATTTAATTCGCATTTTGAACCCTGTCAACCCAGATAGCAAAGTCTTGAACCAGACATAAAACAAGCAACAACAAAGATATGCCTCAACTTTGTCTTCAACGGGCAGGACGATAATGTTTAGGGGTCATCCTGAAATCTGAACTTGCCACCATTCCGTAGCTAAATACCGAAGTTGATTATTTTAGATCTGTCTCAAGATTGGAAAATATTGGTCCAAGGGCCTGAGTGAGCTCCTTGAAGTTGACCTGCGAGAAATGCCATTTTTCCCGCAAATAATGGGTTTTTCACTTTGTGTTTTTAGATGGATGTATTGTTTATGTTAGATATGAAGAATTCTTTTGATAATATAAATAATAATATTTTGAATTGATTGTTGACTTTTTGTGAGCAGATGAAGTATATATATTACTCTCTCTGTTACTTAACAATCTATCCATTTTTCTATTTTGGTCCGTCTCATAACAAGGTATCAATTTCATTCTATAATAATTGTACCATCTACCTAACATTACAACTACCCTTCCAATTTACCATCTACCTAACATTACCTTTATATCATACAATACTAATAGGGTTAATTTAGTTTTTTTACCTTTATTTCTACTTTATCTCAATATAATACTAATATTTCTAAAACTCCGTGCAAAAAGCAAATGGATATATAGATATGGGACGGAGGAAGTATATATATTGTGTTAATGTGTGTATATTACTCAGAGAGTATACACATGTCTATTTTGGGTCGTTTAATTGCAAATTAACTATTTTATTTTAAATAACTATGGACTCCACTTTTTTCTACCTACTCCTACTTTACCATCACATCATTATTACACAAAAAAAAATGGCAAAATTGTTTCTACACTACTTTTAACTACCAACTACAATTAAAATAGTATTAGCATCAAAAATAAATATTACCTCTTAAAATGGACAGAGGGAGTATTTCATTTAATAATATTTGTGGGGAATCTTTCCATCCAAAAGTACTAAGTGCCAAGCCTTTAACTAGTATGGCCTTGTTTAAGTCACGAGGGGAAACCAGCCCAAGACCATCAAAAATATTATTAGAACAGATTGTACTCTAGTTGGCAAGTCTCAATCTTTCTGAAGCCTTTGGCCACCATATAGAGCCTTAAGGCAATCAAGCTTACCATCCACACCAATTTTAATAGTATAAACTCAACGACATGCAATGGTAGATTGACCGGGAGGTAAACGAACAAGATCTCAAGTACCATTAGTATCTAAGGTAGCCATTTCGTCTACCATGGCCTGTCTCCAACCAGAATGAGAGAAAGCCTCCGAGTTATAAAAATGATGAGGATTACAAGTAGAACGTGTACCACGACATGGAGCCAAAAGAGGAGAGGTGTCAGATGTCAAAGGGGGAGAGATTGGCGGTGAGTTGGAGGCCACAAAGGACGTTGTAGGGTCAGATGGGAAGAGGTAATGGATCCAATAGGTAAATTAATCTAATTTATTGGGATCACTGCCAATTATCAAGCTTTGACACAAAGGGCATTTGCGATAGCTAGCAAAGAGCTTTTGTTATTGCTAGAGTTAATGTTCACCTAAGAAAGAATTATTCCTTATCACGATCCAATAGGTAAATTAAACTAATTTATTGGGATCACTGCCAATTATCAAGCTTTGACACAAAGGGCATTTGCGATAGCTAGCAAAGAGCTTTTGTTATTGCTAGAGTTAATGTTCACCTAAGAAAGAATTATTCCTTATCACGATAAGATGAAGCATGCTAATGGTAATATCATTTTATCTTGATATATTTGCAATCGTAAGTAGTGGTGAACTAGGGTAACACAATGGAGAATGTCCTAATGATATTAATTTCAGTTGCCAATTTCATCACTTATAGTCATTTCAAAAGTTGGCATGAAGCTTAAATCATTACATATGTTGATGATAAGTTTACTAAGCATTTATTGATATAAGTGCCATGTGCAATTCATGTCACAAAATGGTGAAAGATGCTTTAATTGGTCAATTTGAAAACATAACAAATTTTCTTAATCACTTGAGGTTATAACTTGGGTTTGGTTAATTGGTTGGGACAAGTGGACTTTGTTTACTACAAAGTGTTCACTTGAGAAATCTCTTGATTTGCTTGTTCTTTTCGTTAACATTGAGTATATTATACATTTTAGTTATAGATTTGAGAGGGCAATGTTAAGTGTCACAACACGAGGAATTGCGAGGGAAATGTTATGGCATGTGTGTAATACCTTTGGAGTTGGACTGGTGCTAGGTCAACTCTCGTCGATGAGCCGGGCTATCCAAGATTGAATAGAGATTCAATGGATTGAATAGACTATTTATGTTAACAATGTGCACATTCCTTTTCGAGAACCCTACTGAAAGAACTTTAGAGTTAAGCGTGCTTGCCCTAGAGTAATTTGAGGATGGGTGCCCTATGGGAATTCTCCAAGGATGCGCGTGTGTGAAGTTCCCAAGGATGCGCGTGTGTGAGGACAGAAGCGCACTGAAAGGACTCATGTTGACCTGTAGGGCCAGTTTACGATCCCAATACGCTTGACTTTGCGTGACTTACGGGCCGGGGTGTCACAGTTGGTATTAGAGCTGACCTGCGACAGCCCGCCGTCGATGATATGACTGGTGACAAATCTAGCAGTTAATGATCATTGGGGTGCAACGAGACAGAGTTGAGCCGGTGTCAGACCATCCAAGATTGAATAGAGGTTAAATGTGGGGCCAATTTACGATCCCAATACGCTCGACTTTGCGTGGCTTACGGGCCGGGGTGTCACAGTTGATATCAGAGCTGACCTGTGGCAGCCCGCCGTCGTTGATCGGTCTGGTGACGGATCTAGCAGTTAATGATCCTTGGGGTGTAACGGAACAGAGTTGAGCCGGTGTCAAGCCATCCAAGATTAAATAGATGTTAAATGGATCGAATATATTACCACATTCCTTTTCGGAAAAAGGGAGAGTTCCCCGGGTGCGTGCGAGCCAGGGCAGAAGTGTGTTGGAATGACTCGTGTTGATTTGTGAGACCAATTTGCGATCCCGATACGCCCAGCTTTGCGTGGCTTGCGGGCCGGGGTGTCACAATATGGTATTCAAACTATGTTTGTGATTTTTGTGTGCAATAAGATTTCTTTGTTTAGGCCAACCAAGAATTATATTAGGAAGGTAACATTACATCTTGACAATTGGGTGGAATTAAGAGTATTGCTAGGGACACCACTCTTGAGATATCTCAATTATGCTGTACAAGTTATAGATTAGAAAATGAACGAAATTTCAAACACCATCTTCCTGGCAATTATTTCTTCAGTGGATGTATTTCATAGCAGTAATCAAATTCACTATAGTTAATTCCTAACAATAACCTAAATTACTTGGTTTAATTTTCAATTTGATTTAGTTAAATAAGGAAAATAGAAACATATCAAAGTTACTTGAACTGATTTCTTTTCCCTATGTTTTATGGGATTACAAATTATTTGCCCTCATCACCTCCTCTCTCTCTTTGTTTTTTCTCCTTCCTGACATCATTCCAACCGTAAGTGCTATCAGTCTAATTGCATTGCTTCCTAAAATGAATTAGGTGAAGTAAAATTTTTAGGAGGTGTTGCATCTGTAAAGGGTGTAAAAGGATTTGATCCTGAGGCTGCAAAAAAGAGGTTTTTTGAGATATACCTGGACAAGGTGATTTAATAATAGATGTCGAGTTTTTCGTTTATTGATTTTCCATCTAATTATCTGCTTGACTCCATGACATATTCAACTTCTTACAGTATGCAAAGCCAGGATCTGGCATAGGTTTCCCTGGTGCCTATGATCTTGTAATGCAGGTATATAAGAAAGATCAAGGTGTGTTTGGTCTCTATGTAGAATGTATAATTATCTATTGCTTGATGAAAAAAACAGTGCAAGGATAAAGGCCTCAAAGTTGCAGTTGCATCCAGTGCTGACCGCATCAAGGTTGATGCCAATTTAGCAGCTGCTGATTTGCAGCCATCAATGTAAGTATATATGCAATTATAGAGTAAATATTGCTGTTAAAGAGTCTTGTTCCAGGTTGTTAATCCATATTACTTGACATAGAATATGGGTGATCATTAGCCTGTTACTTGACATCCACAATTCTACTGACAATAATGCAATCCTGTTTCTATATCACACCATTACCATATCAATTTTTATAATTCTTTTGACTAAAACGCATCACTCGTCAATTATTAAATCTGATTGAAAGACAATGTATATATATATTTGGAAAGAAGGATTATGTGTAATAATAATAAGTGCGAAACAAAAAAGGTTTATTGTCATTTTCATACAATTACATAAGTAAACCCTACTGTATATACAAACTATTGAAATATATTTTAGATAGATATTTTAGTTGATATTATTGTTAGTTTCATATCTAACAGATTAGGTTATTATTATCTAGATTTGTTACTAGATTTGATTGTTATTATTTAGCTTTATCGTTTTGAATAAGGTTTATAAATAGACCATAATTTCATTATCAGTATATCTCATAAATTTCTCTTAAAATTTTTACGTGGTATTAGAATTTATTTTTTTCCTAATATAGACACAGTCTACTAATTCAAGTTTTCTCCGAGTATATCCTGTAATGTACTCGGAGGACTTTTTTTCTAAATCTGAGATCCACTACCACCGTTATCGTATTCCTAATTTGGAAAACACCTACTACCAAATATCATCATCAGAAACAGTGCATATGAGTTACAACATCGGTCAATGTTTCGTCAATGTCGTCGGTCAACGTAGTCAACAATTTCGTTTCCTATGACTTTGGTTAAGCTTTTGGTTTGGTATTTAATTACCTGTCCGGAGTTTTTGCCTATTAGGATTTAATTTATCAGGGTTTAGCGCCGCCGTAGCAACAGAGAATCGCCGGTGCCACCGTGACAGAGGATCGCCGTCAGAAATCCTATTTTGATGCCGCCACAGCGATAGAGATCGTTGTCTCCGCCGCCGCGACAAAGATTGTTGTCGCCGTCGCCGCGACAGATGATTATGACCATTAAAAATCAGCCAATAATTTAATTTATTAAAGTTTCCGCCGTTGCGAGAGAGGATCGCCGGCGCGTGCCCGTTACGAGGATTGATGCCATTAGAAATCTTAATTTGACTAAAATCCTAATTTCTTAGGGTTTAACGGTCCCCATCACGATAGATAATTTATTTGAATGCTGATGTCCAGTTATGAAGTCCGCTCATATTCAACCCACCTTCAATTTCTTTTGCCAAACTCAAGTTGGCTTCTATATCACTAACTTGAGTCTGAGGCGGAGTGTTGAAATATATTTTAGATAGATATTTTAGTTGATATTATTTAGATTTGTTAGTTATCATATCTACTAGATTAGGTTGTTATTATCTAAATATGTTACTAGATTTGATTGTTATTTTAGCTTTATCTTTTTGTATAAGGTCTATAAATAGACCATAATTCCATTATCACTATAACTCATAAATTTCCTTTAGAATTTTTACACAAACAAATATCTAAAAAGGCCTGCACTTCCTCTATATATATATGAAAAACCCTACGGTATATAGAAACAAATATTCTAAATACAAAAATGGACCTACATACAATATATCCAACACTTACCTTCAAACTAGAGAATACAAGTCGTATAATCAAAGTTTGTCGCATATAAATTTAATTTGAGGAGCTCTAAGAGATTCAAGAAGAATATCTGCAAGATGACCATTCAAAACAATAGGGTGAGTGACAATTTCTTTGATAAATGACAATTAATCTCTATGTTTAGTCCACTCATGAAATATTGGATTAGACGAAATATGCAAAGCAACCTAATTGTCACGAAAGAGTTTCATATCTGAAACTTCCACTATAGTTCATGAATAAACTATTTTATCCAATAAAGTTTACATGTCGCTAATTCAATTGAACTGAAGTCTATTCCGTTCCACATAAAATAATTAAATTAATAAATCCTAACATATGTATAAAATTTATCTAAAATATCAAAAAGGTCCCTACACTATTCTAAATACAAAATTGACCTATATACAATATCTCCAACACTCCCCCAAACTAGAGAATACAAATTATTTAATATTATATATGTAATTTTATGTACTATCTTGTAGTGTAGAGTGGGGTAGAGGGTTTGCAGTCTTCCAGAATTATTTAATATTATATATTTAATTTTATGTACTATCGTGTAGTGTAGGGTGGGGGCAGATGGTTTGCAGTTTTGTAGTATTATTTAATATTATATATGTAATTTTATGCATTATTGTGTAATGTAGAGTTGTACTTGTTTACTTGTTTATGTATAATATATGTAATTTTATAGTATTAGTTATTTTATATAATATTAGTGTATAGTGCAGAGTAGCAAAATTTTACTACTGTGGGCAGTTTTGTTTTTTATATATTTTATAATTTCTAATTTAATTTAATTTATTTTATTGATTTTATTTTTAAGTATGATTTTTATATTAATTTTATTCATGTTTTAATGATTGATCTATTACTTATACATTTTATTTATATATTTTTTTGTACTTGTTACTTTAATGGCCGATAACGAAAATTTCCAAGATTTATCAAATAATCCAGTAATAAAGGCCAAATCATCCAATTGAGGGTGAAAGTATGGATTTTGGCCGGATTTGAATAACAAGAATTTGATTGAATGCGCTCTTTGTCATAGACAAATGCATTCTGAAGTCAAGAGGTTAAAGCAATATTTAGTTGGGAGCTACGGCGATGTTGTTAAATGTCCTAATACCACATAAGAAATTCGTAAGGAAATACATCAATTTATGAGCAAAAAAGTGATTAATAAAGCATCGTGGGGTATTACCGAACTTGATTATTTCGAGGATACCGAAGACAACGAGAAGTTAGAAGAAAATCAATCTACGGGTGCTATAAATTCATTCCAAGCCTTCAGTGCATCGAAGTTCGGGCACAAATAGCAAAAGAAAGTTGGCTCAATCAACTTTAAAATTTTTTGAACCTCCGAGAGTTGGAAAACAAAGTAAGTCAATTGCTGCAATGATTCGAAAGACTCCTGAAGAGATTGTTGAAGAAAGACATATGGACGGTTATGTTCAGAAAACCATCGAAGCTTCTACAAAAGGAAAAGATGAAACAATTGAAGTGCAAAGGCATATTGCCGATTTTTTCTATGAAAATGGCATTCCATTCAATGCTTGCAAATCAAGAAGTTACGTATTATGGTTGAGGGTATCGGACAATATGGTTCCGATTTGAAACCTATTAGTTATCATCAGTTGCAGGAACCATTTCTTGAAAATGCCGTAAATGTAACAAATAAGTTGAGAGAATGGCATATGGAAGCTTAGAAACAATATGGGTGTTCCCTTAGGTCATATGGGTGGACAGACAAAAGAGGGCGACACTTATAAAGTTTCTTGTCAATAGTCCATATGGGACTTTTTTCTTGGAGTCTATTGATGCATCAGCTGAGTCACATGATGCAAGAATGTTGGCTTACTTGCTTGAAAAAAAGGTTGAAGAAATTGACAAAGAGCATGTTGTGCAAATTGTGACGGATAATGGAGCAAATCATAAAACGGCGGGAAGATTAGTAGCACAGCGCATTCCTGGTCTTTTCTGGACACCATGTGCAGCTCATTCTATTGATCTTATGCTAGAAGACATTGGGAAAATGAATAAATTTAAACCCTACATTCAAAAGGCTAAGGACGTCACCACTTTTATTTATCGACATCGGAGAATTCTCGGTGCAATGAAGGAAAAGACTGGTGGCAGAGATCTGGTGAAGCCGGCGACTACCCGATTTGCTACCGCATTTCTCACTTTGCAGAGTTTAGACAAACATAGGAATGAATTGAGACGGTTATTTTTGAGTGATGATTGGAGCGATAATAAGCTGTCGAAAATGTCTAAAGGCAAAAAGGTAATGGAAACCATTCTTTCATCGAAATTTTGGGATCAGGTAGAAGATTGTTTACGAGCAACACTTCATTTTTTGATTATTTTGAGTATAGTTGATGGTGATGAAAAGCCAGCTATGCCTGAGCTTTCTTCGTCTATGAATCATGCGAAGAAGAAAATAATTGAATCTTTTACGAGCAATAACAAAACAAGATTGTTGGCCAAGTTGATGGAAATAATTGAGGATCGATAGAGCGATCAAATGGAGGTGAAGTTATATGGGGCTGCACTATTCCTAAATCCTTCAAAATATTTTGAATTAAAGAGGAGTGATCCCGTATTTGCTCGTAAGCAATGTCAGTTGTTTAATGATATTCCAGAAAAGATGGTTAAAGATGAAGAGTTGATGGATAAAATTAGTGGTCAAATAGATGATTACGATAAAATGCGAGGAAACTTTGGCCGTCAATTGACAATCAAGCACCAAATGCAAAAGAGTCATCGTAAGTTTTTTTAACATATATATATTTTTATTTTCTATGAAACTTAATTTCACATATTGACTATATTCTTTTATATATATATATTTTAGTTGATTGGTGGGATGCATATAGTGGTGACAACGAAGAACTTCGATCACTTGCGGTACGAACTATTAGTTTATGTTGCTCTTCTGCCGGTTGTGAGCGCAATTGGAGTACATTTGAATTTGTAAGTAAATTTGTTCGAAATTTACTTATATTAATATTTTAGTAATAATCTTCAAATTTTGATATAAAATTTTGTTTCTAGATTCATACCAAGAAAAGAAATAGACTAGAGCACCAAAGACTAAATGATTTGGTGTATATTCAATATAATCGGAAGATTGCACATCGCTTTCAAAAGCGACGGGTAGCATGAAGCAATTTTAATCCCTTAATTTTTGAAGAATTTCAATGGGACAATGAATGGGTTGATGGTTCTCGAGATTTGGTTCATGAAGATGGAGATCTTGAGTGACATCATGTTGATGCAGCTGTAGGTGCTTCAAGTAATCTCAATAATTCCAATCTTCGTAGTAGAAGCGTTGGTGAATCCTCAGGTCCGCCCATCATGTATGACCGTCGCCAGGGCCCTTCTAACGGACATTTGACAAATGAGGATGAAGAAAATGATGAAGATTATATGAATACCGAAGACTAATGGGAATTTGAGAAATTGAGGAACTTTTTTCTTGGTGTTTTGAAACTTTCATATTTTGACATATTGATATTTTAGTGTTTTGATGGTTATGCTTAGCATTTTGATATTTTGGTATTTTGATATTTTATTTGAAATTTAATGATTGATGTTATAATTTTACATTATATAATTAAATATTAAAAACTTATAATAAGTACTAAGCAAGTCGCCGTATCGCCATATTGTCGCCATTTCGGGTGCCGTATCGCCTAGGCGATATGGCAGTCCGATAGCGCCGTGCCTAAATTCTCGCCGTAACAACCTTGAGAATATCTACAAGTTTGCCCATTTGAACCAACATGGTGGATGTAAATACATCTAGATAGAACTTTCTCCCGAATAACATGACAATTAATCTCTATATGTTTAGTATTCTCGTAAAATACTGGATTATATGCAATATGCAAAGTAACTTGATTATCACAAAAGAGTTTTATTTTTTAAAACTCCACACAGAAGTTGTTTTAGCCAAATAAGTTCACACATTGCTAATGCTATAGCTCGATATTTTACTTTTGCACTTGATCGAGCAACACCATTTTATTTCTTACTTTTCCATGAGATAAGATTTCCTTCCACAAATATGTAATACCTAAGTAGAACGTCTATCAAATAGGGATCTTGCCCCATCAGCATCCGAGTAGCCAATTACCGAAGTGTGACCTTAATTAGTATAAAATAATCCTCTACCAAGAGACACTTTAATGTACCTCAAAATGCGAACTGCAGCATTCCAATAAACATTACGGGGGGACTAAAGGAATTGACTTACAACACTCACTGCAAAGGAGATATCAACCAGAGTAAGTGTGAGATAGTTACGCTTACCGACCATTCTGCGATATCTTCCTGCGTCAGCTAGTAATTCCTATGTTTCTTCAAGAATATCCGATACATACTTCTGTTGTGAAAGAACAATACAATCCTCCCATAATTGAGCAATTTCAATACCAAGAACGAACTTCAATGGCCCCATATCTTTAGTTTGAAAGTGCTGAAATAGGTACTATTTCAACTGGGTGGCTCTCTCTTGATCATTTTTTGTAAGAACAATTTCATCAACATACAAAATAAGGTATAAAAACTTATCACTTGTTGTTCGTTTATAAAAAACAGAATAGTCTAGTGCACTCCGAATCATGCCAAAGCCCTTTATAACACTGCTGAATCGACCAACAAAGACTTATATTCTGAATCATGGCTTATATTCTAAACATCTTAATATATTTCAGGATTTTTACTTCTCACTTATAAAGCTTCTGTAACAGCGACTTCATTTGTATTCCTCAAGGTTTAATTCTTCAGTACTCTCTAATGTTTATACTAACAGGTTCGAAGCTATTGTGTCTGCTGATGCATTTGAAAACTTGAAACCTGCTCCAGACATATTTCTAGCGGCGTCAAAATATTTGGATGTGCCCCCACATGAGGTATGCTTTCTGAATTCTTGATTTTCAGTTATTATCATTCCAAGTCTTCGTTATTGTTATTTTCTGTTCTTGATAACCTGATGGAGTAATGTTTACCAAGTAGATTTTCCATCAAATAAAATCTGTGTGTGTTGTTTAGGATCTATCCTTGAATCGAAATAAATTTGTTTCAGTTTGAATACTGATCATCAAGAATTAATCATATTTTAGATTTGTAATCTTACACAAATGTGCTCTAGAAATTGATTTGATGCATGGACTTTGTTACAGTGCATTGTGATTGAAGATGCATTAGCTGGAGTGCAAGCTTCCAAATCAGCTGGAATGAGGTAGCATTTACGAATTTAGTAACTTGTATATGTTCCAAACTTCCACCTGCAATATTGAGACATTGACATTATAAATATGTTTTTACTTTCTTTTATCATATTTAGCTTTGATGTATATAATAATTCTTTTAGTAGCATTCTTTCCAGATCATTGATATCCATTTGAAATTCATTTTTCTATCATTGTCAGTATTGCTTTGTGACAATTCTGCAGTTACTATTGCTGTGTTCTGGATCTCATTTTGTCTTGTTCTCCTTTGATCTTCTTTTCAATACTATTGAAGTTTTCAGCCAATTTTGCTGTGCTTGCAGATGCATAGCTGTAACGACAACACTAGCAGAAGATACTCTAAAGGCAGCTGGTCCATCACTTATCCGAAAGGAGATCGGAGATATTAGCCTAGATGATATTCTGAATGGTGGCTCTGGTTCCAATAGTATGTAGTTGGGAAGCATATTAACAAATACTGTTTTCATAAAAATAATGTATTTGGTGCAGACTTCTTTTGTATAAGATATGAAGAGAAACTATGACATGTATCTTGTAATGAATCTGCCTGCATAGAAGCTTATTTCTATTTAGTGCATAAGGTCTTTGGTTCATACAATAACATGACATTTGTTGCCATCGTCTCTTTGTCTTTCTTTTTTTTCGGAAAGCTAGGGTAAAAACCTTTAATTTGTCTGATGTTGAAGACTTCTCATAAAGGAAGTATCTAATGATTAAAAAACATTGCAGATCCAGATTTCCTACCTGCTGGTGCTATGGTTCAAAGTCTGCCCAATTCTTACAGTAAAGAAATCGGGTTTCAAGATGAAAACCCTGAGAAAAAGGTTATCTTCTCAGTTGGGGGGTAAGTAAATCTCTTATATGATGGAACATTCTGTTCATTAATTTCTTGATCACTGTAGCAACTCTGAAATGATAATATCAATAGGGCAGCTCTTTCTAGCCTATTTTGATGCATTTAGGTCAAAATCTATTGCTGCTGGATAATCCTTGAATTGTCTCTGGCCAAGGATAAATTATTATAAAACAGTAAAAATAATAGCTTGATATTATTAATTGCAATGAGAAAGATTGTTTTCAATTATCAGGTGCCTTATATATGCCATCTTATTACATTCTCCTTTGTGGAGCTCTCACTCTCTCTCTCTCTCTATTTTTAATACACTGGATTTTCATCTAGTGAAAATTTTCAATCCTTCCCACGAAAGATCAGAGAAGTGTAGGTTTGACAAAATCAAGAAATATCTTTGTTCTTATGAGTCCTGGAAGATATCTCTTTAACAATTTTTTTGTTATCCTTCTTTTTTTTTTTTTTTTCCCCTTGTGCTTATATGTTGTATTAATAACACATAGATGTGATGGTCCAGCTTCTTGTTTCTTTCTGAAGTGCATTCTCATACTTTCATTTGGGCATGCATTTGATTGACATTGTGAAGTAGTTTGTTCCATGCTGCAAGTTTTCCATTCTTAGCATGAGTGGAGATCTATTCCTTTGCCCTTTCAGAGAAGCACCACTGCCAATGCCAATGCCTGGCATTCAACTATTTTACATCTTCATCTATATCCCTGTTGTAGGGTTCTTGCACTTTCAATTATTTAGTATGAAATCTTTAAACCTCACATAACTCTATATCATATAGATGTTATCAGTATTACATTAAGGACATTCAGTTCAATCAATACCTTTGAATTTACAGAAATGATTTTTTGACAGGGTTCAGGGTTCTCGGAGAGATGTTTTGAGATATGGAAGCTTGACAATTTCTATTTCTTGCCTTATCTTCATAATTACTAACTGGAAGGTATGCTGATGCAAGCAAAAACACCATGGGATCAAACTCCTGCCTTTGCCTCCTTTGGTTTAGACATGAATGCAACTCTGGAATCTTCTACATCATTGCAGGCCATGCAATATACATCTCCCAAGGCCATTTGGAATTCGTTCTTTGGGACTGGTTCCCCTCCTTTTGGACCCAAAGAAGGTCTATCATCAAAGATGAACTTCATGTTGGTGTAATGATTAGTATTTGTTCCTTTCTGCCTTTACTGTTTCTTTTATGTAATTTCTTTCTCTTCAGTTTTTGATATTTTTATGTGCGGCTTTCACTGGCCATAATTTTGTGTGCCAAATGATTTTTGCTGATGATAAATAGAGGGAAAAATGAAAATCACACTTCTCTTATCTTTTGGTGGTTGCAGAAGATTCTGGCAGTGAGAGAGTCAAACAGTTTGTGAACTACATCTCTGATTTAGAGAAAAGGTATGAAATTCCTACCTTCGATTCTCTATATTTTATTCATGTAGGCCTCTATTTAGTTGTGGAACTTATGTTCACTTGCATGCTGTGCATGGTTTGCAGTTTTTTATTTTCACTAATCAGTTTGTGATGCTTTGGATCATTACAGGGGCACTGCCACAACTGTGCCAGAGTTTCCATCTAAACTTGACTGGCTTAACACAGCTCCTCTTCAACTGCAGAGGGTAATCCTAAGTGCAGTAATTATCAAAATTATTTAGTGTGCTATTTCATTCTGTCACCACATGATTGCAACCTCTTTGCTTGATTCCCCATCTGATCTATAATTATCATTGTTGTGAAATCTTTCGGCATGGTGAAGATAGTGATGTATTTTAGTTTTTCTATCACTTATCTATCCACATATGGAATTACTTTCGCTGTAGGAGTGTTAATTTCTATAGTGTGTTTTTATCTCTGCTAGTCTAACTTTCTCAGTTTGTGGGCTAAGATCAAGTGTGGGTTGTAATGTATTGGAAGATTCCATCATACCCTATATATTTAACATGTGTATAAATCATTTTAAACAGTACTTCAACACATCAATAATGACACAGCATTTGACACAATACTTTCTATTGGACAGGACTTGAAGGGAAAAGTTGTTCTTCTCGATTTCTGGACATACTGCTGTATAAACTGCATGCATGTGCTACCAGACCTTGAGTTTCTTGAGAAAAAGTATAAAGACATGCCTGTAAGTGTTGTCCCACTTTCGATTATTTAAAGAATTTCAATTGTCGACTTTTAAAAACCTTGCTAATGAACTTGGATTAGTTGTGAGCTCAAGCTACAGAAATTTATATTGTTACAAGTTTAGCATCCGAGGTATGGACTTCTCATACTGCTGTATAATTGGACCAAATGGGTGTAAAAGAAATACGATGAAGACAAATCATCTTTTATTTTTGCTATTTAATGACAATACACAATATATTATGTTGGATGCGCCTATCATAGATATTAATAAGCAGGGAGGTTGTCATTTTGGTCTTGTGAGACTTCTATAATTTTCATCACTTATTATGGTTCTAATTTGAAGATGGTTTTATATCTCATTCTTCATTAGTATTATAGTCCTCCAATGACAAAAAATTGTATGTGACACTAGCTTGTGTTGATGTAGCTTTCCGGCACTGAGGTGACTGGTTTCTGGCCCCGAAGGACCAAAATATGGATAAATGACAAGATAAGAAGCTATTTCCAAACAAAAGTTCTACTAAAGGACAAGAAAAAACAATGATAATATGCAAGTTCTCTGGCCAAATTGAAAAGCTCATGTGTAAAACAAGTCAAGATATAACATCCATGAATCAAAATAAAACAATTGCACATATATTCCAGTTGTGATCTAGAGAATAAATATAAAAATGATTGATGGAGATTCTACGGGTGTATTTTTATGGGTTTTCTTTTTTTTTTTGTTTATTTTATTTATTTTGAGTTGTGATCTTTTTGAGGTGAAAGAGTTGTTGGATGTGATATTTTATATGAAAAATGTGTGTTTGATGGCTGTTTTTGGAGGCAAATTAAGATATTACATAGTAACAAAGATGGAAAAACTCAAAGACTTGTGCATTTGTGGTTCAATTTTGTACATTTACTTGTTTTACAATTATTTGAATTACAAGCCAATTGAACCAAATTGAAAATGATAATAGTTTCAATCTAATCAAATTTGGCCAAATTGTAATTTTCATATTGATATTACTATTATTTTTATTTTTTCTAGAAACCTTTGCCTGGAAATAGGTCTCTCTTTGTACTTTGGTCCTCCTGTGCTGGAAATTGGCTGCATCAACACACTGGCAGGCTAACTTGGTGCACGTGACACTAGATCAAAACACTAATGATGAAGGAGATACGTGACCACTTTGAAATAGGTTATGATAATACAACTGACTGGAGCCAAAAGAACAATTATCCTGCATAGTATGTTGTTGTAAAATTGAACCTAGATTGTGGGCATTAAAAATGTACAATGAAATGAATCATCTTTTATTTTTGCTACATAAAGACAATCAAAATCACTTTTTATCTTGTTTCCATTGTTATCACTGAAATATATTATCGTTGTGATATCAAATGTCCTTCTAGTTTATGTGATACTATTTTGTGCATATTATCATGGTTACATATAATGTTTCCAGGTTTATTTTCTCTCAACTACAAAAGCGCAATGTATCCATTTTATGAGTTTCTAAATTTATTTCAAATAAAACATTCAGTGAATATTTTCATGGGAAATATTTATATTTAACTCGAGGAGAGCATCCAAGGTCAATATCGTATTTGGTTATATTTTTAATAAAATTATATTGAATCTATGAAGTAATAAGATTAAAGTGATTTTTTCTATTAAGATTTGAAAACGACATATTCAAGGTGCAAAATGGTGTAGCCTTAATAGCTTAAGTGGAAGCCTGATGTTAATCAGGGAGGCTTACCTGATGTGCCTCACATAAGTCGTTTTACTTGGATTCTGTACTGATTTAAAACTTAACTCAGAAAAGCCCTGAGGTCCAGATATTATTTCCTTCTTTGCACGTGAGTAGATCACGAAAGCTATAGAAAATAAGAAACATCTCTAGTTGCTGTTTTTGTCCATAGCTGCACTATGTAGTTGGACTTACCGTGTGTTATTGTTGGCATGTTGTAGCTTGAAGTTTTATGTTAAATGATGTACTAAGTTGAATGTAGTATGCAGACTTTTCTATGGAGTAACATTGTTTGTTACAGTTTGTTGTAGTAGGAGTTCACTCTGCAAAGTTTGACAATGAAAAGGACTTGGAGGCCATTCGCAATGCTGTCTTGCGCTACGGAATCACACACCCGGTGAGGGCTTGCATACATCTGACTAATGGATTAAATTACATATTCTTTTAGTACAGTGGGTTGAGGATAATTTGGCCAAGGCTTCGCCACCGAACACTAGCTCAGTACTGTGTTTACTTAACGGAAATAGATTAGCATTCTCTCGTCATTTAAGTCATAACTAACAAGCCAGCATCAATTCAGTACAACCATATAAAAATATTGTTAGATTTGATAGATTTATATCCATATCTATATCAATATTCATATCCATCATATCAAATCTATGATTTAGTTAGATTTGGCTTATTCGGATAGATTCCTAAATACTCTATATATGTATTCTTCTCTTCTCTTTTATGATGAAATAAAATAATATTACTCCTCTATTTCTCTACTATATTTTCCTACGTGGTATCAGAGCCTCCATATTTTCCAGCCGCCGCTGCCAATGCCAAATACTCTATATATGTATTCTTCTCTTCTCTTTTTTTCTTTTTTTTTTTTCTTTTACTTCTTATGGCTGACTCTTTTAAGTCAATTAGTACTAGACGTCTATGTTTGAGGTGTACCTATTGTCATAAGAATGGTCATACTAAAGGATGTTGCTATAGTGTTCATGGATCCCCTTCTGGTACAACAAATGCAATTTTCCAATTTTCATAAAATATTTTCACATCCAGTCAATAAAAATAGAACAATCTAAATATTTAGTAAGTCTACTAACAAATATGAGGTTAAATGGACTATGTTGTACATGAAGGACAAAATCAAGAGATAAAGTAGGTGACAGACAAACCCTGCCAATAGCTTGAGGATATGCTTTATCACCATTAGCGAGAGTGACATGTGTTACTGAGTTTGACGGATGAAAAATAGAAAATAAATAGGGATTACCAGACATATGATCGGTTGCACCGGAATTTAGTACCCATGAGCCTAGTGTAAATTGAAAAATACCGACAAATATGGTCTGGACATTAGGAGAGGTGTCAGAACTAATGGAGGACAAATGCTCAAATGCCTGAAACTGAAGGAACGCATCATAATTGGCACGACTTATAATAATGAAGTTAAGGGGATGAACATTCATTCAAATTAGCAACAACTGGACTAGGTCATAAGATTCCCATCATTATATACTTGGAATGTACGTTCTTTGTTTATGACCATTCTCCAAGTTTGGACAAATTACGTCCTCGATCAATCAAATGTGTTTTTCTTGGGTATTTGAGTTCAAAAAAGATATAGATGTTATTCTCCTTTCACTCGTCGATATTACCTTAGTGCAGATGTCATGTTCTTTGAGTCATCACCATACTTCACAGTGTCATTAGCTCCGTCCTCAATACATGTGAATCTTATTCCAGTGGCCCTCATCCCAAGCCTCCATTTCAGGTCAATAGTCGGCATACATGGCAATGTCAAAACACACCTACTTCACCATCATCTGCACCCATTGATGACTCATCTCTGGTTTCGTCATCTTCCCCGGTTGTAACTCCACCATCACCTGTTGTCCTACATCGAGGTACTCGGTCCACTCGTAATCCTAACCCTGTCTATAATTTTCTTCATTATGACCCGTTTATCCTCGCTCTTGTCGTGAGACTTTGAGACTTTTGGTCATTCGGGTGGTGTCAGGCTATGGTGAAGGAAATGTTTACTTTTCATGCTACAATACATGGGAGTTGGTTCCATTGCCATTAAGAAAAACACCCGTAGCTTACCGATGGGTTTATGCGGTCAAGGTTGGCGCTAATGGTTGCATTGATCGACTCAAAGCTCGACTTGTTGCAAAGGGCTTTACTCAAGTGTATGAAGAGGACTATATGGAAACCTTTTCTCCAGTTGCCAAAATATCTTATGTTCGTATTTTTCTTTCTATGACAACAATGCGCGGTTGGCTCGACGCCTTCATAAACTTGATATTAAGAATGTCCTTTTGCATGGTGAGCTTTAAGAAGTGGTTTATATGGAGCAACCACTTTTTGTTGCTTAGGGGAAGTTTGGTCTTGTGTGTCTCATTCATTGCTCACTCAATGGCTTGAAACAGTCTTCACAGGCATGGTTTGACGTTTCCGTCTTGTTATCCAAGAATTTGGTATGACGCAATGTTCATCTAATCATACCGTATTTTTTAAGCATATGTATTTACTTAATTGTCTATGTTGATGACATTCACCGGAGATGATATAGATGATATTGCAAAGTTGAAGAAGCATCTAAACAAACATTTTGAGGCCAAAACTTGGGACCACTACAGTACTTCTTAGGAATTGAAATTGCCCCATCAAAGAAAATATGTTCTTGATATGTTGGAAGAAGCATGTATGAATGAATGTAAGGTTGTGGATTCCCTTATGGATCCACATACAAAGTTGTTTCATGGATAGGAGGAACCATTGACTGATGCCGATGCTAGACGATATAGAAGGTTGGTTGAAAAGCTTAATCACCTCACTATCACCCGACCCCATATATCTTTTTGCAGCAAGTGTAGTGAGTTAGTTCATGTAGTCTCCATGTGACTATCATTGGAAGGCACTTATGCGTATTTTGCGGTATATTAAGGGATCTCCCGGAAAAGGTATACTTTATACAAATTATGGTCACTCTGAAATTATTGGATATTCAGATGTTGATTGGGCAGGGTCTTCAGTCGATAGATGTTCTACCTCTGGTTATTGTATGTTTGCGCATTCTAGTGCTGAGGCTGAATATCGCGCTATGGCCTTAACTACATGTGAGCTTCTTTGGATTAAACAATTACTTTGTGAACTAAGTTTTGTGATATGACAAAAATGAAATTATGGTGTGATAATCGGATAGCACTACACATTGCATCAAATCCAATCTTCATGAACGAACAAAGCATATTAAAATAGATTGTCACTTCATCAATGAGAAAGTGTTATCTGGATCTATAGATACAAAATATGTATCCTTAAATGATCAGCTTGCAGATATATTTACAAAAGCCCTTAGAGGTCCTAGATCCGAGTCTATATGCAACAAGCTTAGATCGTATCATTTGTACGCTCCAGCCGGAGGGGAAGTGTCAGATTTGATAAATTCATTCCAAAGGAGTTGGAAATGGATCTACCGGTATCCATATCCATCATATCATATCTATTATTTAGTTACATTTAATTTGTTAGGATAGATTTCTAAATACTCTATGTATATGTCTTCTTCCCTTCTCTTTTATGATGGAATAAAATAATATTTTTCCTTTATTTCTCTACTCTATTTTCCTAAAACATGAAGTAAAAATTTAAGCATCATGCGTTGGTGGAATTGAAACTTTGCATGTGGAAGCTAGAAACTAGCTCATGCTATTATCATTACCTTTACATTTTATTTGTATGCCTTTAAGATTCATAATAAAAATTAATTACGTGGTTCTTGCAGTGAAATAATTTAGTAATCTTTCAAAACCATATAGAAACCATGAAGTAGACTTTTTATCTTTAAGCTTCTTGTGTTGGTGGAGCTGGAATCATGCTTATGAAAGCTTGAACAAGTTTGTGACTTTGTGCTATTATCATTATCTTACATTTTATTCGCCGTGCCTTAAACTCATTCTAGAATTTAGTTCTTGACAAAAATTCATAACTTCTGCAAAATGATAGAATGTAAAGTATCATGAAACACATTAAAGCACAACTGTAGAGACTTCATACTTGTAATGGTTAATTCTTTTGGCTACATAGTACTAAAATAAAAAAAAAATATATATATATATATATATAAGTAGCATCCCATGGCTCTAAATACAAACCAAAATTTATTCCCTTGTAATCAAAGCATAAGAGTTCATGGAAAAAGAGAATAGAACTATTTAACCTTACAGTACATGTGCAATATTGTTTTCTCTGTGTGTGTATACTAATGTGAATCCTGTTAATTCTTCCTGTAAATGATCCCTAGGTGGTCAATGATGGTGATATGTATCTATGGAGAAACTTGGGTGTGAGTTCATGGCCTACGTTTGCACTTGTTGGACCAACTGGCAAGCTTATAGCACAAGTATCTGGTGAAGGTCGCCGAAAGGTACTCATCTTAGGATTTAATGTTAAAATAATAATCATAAATGACACTCCCATTATTAAGTGAAGCTAATAGTTGAGCTGGGCATCTAATATGAATATGATGATCTTGGGAAACCCATATTCGAACATCACTGCCACTGCAAATGGAAAGTGCTTTATGAAAAAGAAGCCATCTCACTTGGGGGGGGGGGGGGAACTTGAACATGGGATCTCCTATTTTGATATCATGTTGAATGACCATCTCACATAGAAGCTTAAGCTTTTATAGGAAAATGTACCATTAGAAGTTCCATTATTGTTATTTCTTCATTTTTCTGTGTGAGTAGTGGTATATATGCTTTTATCAAACTCTTTGTTTTTGGGGGAAGTTAAAGTAGTTAGACTGTAAAGAATTTAATTTGGAGTTATAAAGATAACAGAACAGGTAAAAAAGGCAACACCCAGATCTGACTTTAAAATTTTAGTGTAGTGTGCAGCCAATGCTTAGATAGATGGAAAAACTTGAAATGAAGAACTCTTAGGCTTAGCAGAAAAACCTTCTCCAATTGCAACCCTCACTTGAAAAGAAAATCAGCACATTATTTCCATTTCACAGAATATAATGAACAATAATTTTTAAGTATATAGAAATGAGAGTTAGCAGCTTGTTTATGTCGAAATTGAACTTCCATAGCGAGCCAAACTATTAATCCAACTATGGGCATTTGTTGCATCATAAGGAAATGTGATTCTAGGAAGGAGACCAATATGTTTTCTTCTTTTCTGTTATTATTTTTCCTATTAATCAATTTTCCTATATAAATGTTTTTATTTTGCAGAACCTACTGTTAATTTTGTGCAATCCAATGATAGATGATTTATAATTGACAAACCTGACAATAGTGTAATGGCGCACTCACTCATGACATAATTGAAATTACTTAGCTTTTAACATAATTTGATAATGTATTCACGTAACCTTTAGCAATATAGTAAATTGTTAGCAATTATTTCTGAAAGAGCTCTCGTTTGAAGCACTTTTAATAAAATTCCTTTGTACGTGCTTTTATGACGTTTAACTGAAAAGAGAACAGAAGTTATATATTGGATAGTTACGTCAGTGCTTTCTTATCATTTCTTATTTCTATATATAGAATATCAAATTGTGTTTACTTGGACTTTTCTTCCTGGAAGAGTTGAGAGTTTGAACAACTTCATTCAATGTTGTATACACTTTTTGGCAGACTATTAGATTATTGATATTCGCAATATATTAAGACTTTTAAGTAATTTTGGGGAGTATTATGGTAGTAAAACACATTATGTTGAGCGGGAATATACGCTCTTTAGTTCTAACATTGTATTAAAAGTGTTAAATCATATGTAATTTACAACATCCTTCATCAGATTGCCATGTGGAAATTTCTGAAGTGATTATAATATATACTTTCTTTTCAAGGATTTAGATGATTTGGTCAAGGCAGCATTATTGTACTATGGCGAACAGAAACTATTGGACAATACGCCTATTCCCCTGAATTTGGAGAAAGACAATGATCCTCGACTATCAACATCTCCATTGAAATTTCCTGGAAAATTGGCAGTTGATGTCCTTAACAACAGGCTGTTCATTTCTGACAGCAACCACAACCGAATAGTAAGTGTGTTCTCTCTTCCCTGCTTGCATTATGTGTATGCCTGCCTTTCTATATATGGATACACTTGCCTTCTATTTCCCAGCCTTTCTAGTGCGTTGGTAAACCCATTTTGGACATCTCTATCTTATTGTTTCTGGTCATATTTCTTGCAATTGTTTGTGTTACAATTATTCAAATCTCTTCACCTAAGTAGTGTATTTACAGGGCCAAGTGTGATCATTTTCTTATTGCTTGCATTCAGGTTATCACTGACCTTGATGGAAACTTCAAGCTGCAAATAGGAAGCACTGGGGAAGAGGGTTTTAGTGATGGAAATTTTGATGACGCCATGTTCAATCGACCTCAGGTCATAACTTTGCAACTCTATTTAATATCTTCTCTTGCATTAGAATCGGTTGCGTTTCGTACTTCTTACAGTTGGCTTAGTCTGTAAGGTGAATTCGTTGAAGTTTTACTTGATGGATGATTCGTTTCTAAGTTTTCTTAAAAAGCATCCAAGCATGATATACACACACACATATATATATATATATTTCTCTACTTAGTTGAGTCTCAATTGATGCAGTTTTATGTTTTTGCAGGGAATTGCTTACAATGCAAAGAAAAACCTTCTGTACGTAGCCGACACTGAAAATCATGCTCTAAGGTAGCAGAATGAGTGGAAGTCATGCTTACGTTTTCCATATGCATCTTTCTTCTGTAAAGTAGAAAATTGACACTCCTGCATGTTGGCTTGGGCTTTTATACCACTGAGCACTCAGTTAACATCAATTTCTTGTTCTTCAGATGCATAGATCAGAAAGTTTGATCTGTGTTCTTTTATAATTAACTTCTGGCACTGCAGGGTTATTGATTTTGTTAATGAGTCAGTGCGGACCCTTGCTGGAAATGGGACCAAAGGCTCTGACTACCGAGGTGGAGGATCAGGATCAACTCAGGCAATTCTTTTTCCTCGAAAAAAAAAAAAAAGTCTTGTTATCAACTGTAGATATTATAGACGTGGCCAATATGTGTCTGGTCTTTAATATACTGCAAACCACACCTATAATCTTAACCACTCAAACATAATCCCTTGGCATTTTCAGCTCCTGAATTCTCCATGGGATGTCTGCTTTGATTCTGTGAATGATGTCGTTTACATTGCCATGGCCGGACAGCACCAGATTTGGAAACATAGTACATTAGACGGAACAACCAGAGCTTTCAGCGGCAACGGTTACGAGCAGAACTTGAATGGCGACAGGTTTGGAGTGATCTATACAATGCTAGTTTTTTAGTTTTTCTTTGTTTACTTGATGGTTTTCATTACTTCTTCACATATTTCGCTTCAGTCCGTTAAACACCTCATTTGCCCAACCTTCCGGGATTTCATTGTCGCCTGGTATGTTGTGAATATATTAACATCAGCTGCGGTTAACTGAAACATTCAAGCCTGGATATGATGATGTAGTTTCCAATTAATTAAGTATGGTTTTCTGTTTTGATAGATCTGAAAGAGGCATACATTGCTGACAGCGAGAGCAGCTCTATTCGAGCGCTTGATCTTAAATCAGGAGGATCAAGATTACTAGCTGGTGGTGATCCATTTATCTCTGACAACTTATTTAAGGTTCTTTCACATCTGATTTGGAGCCATATAATGTTTTTTGCACTCGTATAATTGAGTGTATTTATGCTTTAAATTGAGCTTTGCATGTTTCAGTTCGGAGACCATGACGGTGTAGGCTTTGAAGTACTGCTTCAACATCCGTTGGGTGTCTTTTGTGGAAGTGACGAAGAAGTTTACATTGCCGATTCTTACAATCACAAGGTATTTGGAGGGGAAATCAAAACATTGATGCAACATTTGAGAACGAATATTCTGATTGGGATATTAGGTCCGCTGAGCCAGACTGATCATTTGGCCTCATGCATGTTTTCTCTTAAATATTTTCCCTTGTGTTTGAATGCATTCATCTTTGTCTATAGATCAAGAAGTTGGATTTAGCTAACAAGAGAGTTAGTACGTTAGCAGGCACCGGAAAGGCTGGATTCAAGGACGGATTAGCCTTGCAAGCCCAGGTATTGAAATTCAAAGAATTTTCTATCTATAGATTGTTAGCTTAGTGCATTAGAATATGACAAGTGGATATTGTAAAAATTATCGAATCACCAGTCACCTGAAACTATGTCATAGTTCGCGTGAAACTTCCCAAATCTTATCTCCAATATATAGCAAAAAGCTTTTAGAAAATGAGACAGAAAACTTTTCTTTTTTTCTAGGTTATACATATTCTGTGTTGTTGGTTCTATTGATTGATGGGAAATGGAATACATCTTTTGCTCCCGACTGTATATTATAGCAAGGCATTGACTCGAGCTCCTTCTAATATCTACAGCTCTCAGAGCCTTCTGGACTAATTGAAGCAGGAAAAGGTAATTATATGACTCAGTTAAAATATTTTCACTTTGCAATGAGAAAATGCACATTTTAGAGTTTTTATATTGCATCGGTGTTGTTATAATTTCGAAACTTTTCTTGAATATTAGGAAGATTTCTGATAGCCGATACGAACAACAGCTTGATAAGGATATTAGACATGAACAAGAAAGAGCCAACATTGTCTACTCTAGACATGAAAGGTGTTGAGCCACCAGCTAGAAAATCAAAATATATGAAGCGGCTTAGGCGAAGGTCATCAGCAGATGCTGAGATCATAGCAGTTGACGGCGGCTCATTTGATCAGGGCAAACTGTGCCTGAAAATATCGTTACCAGAAGGCTACCATCTATCCAAGGTTTTAATTATATTTATATATATGGTCGATCTCATTAGAGTTTGTTTGCTTGTTAGTTTATGAAGTTTTTGAACCCACCCTTAGGAAGCAGAGAGCAAATTCAGCGTCGAATTTGAGCCAGAAACAGCTGCATTGGCGGATCCAACAGAGGGGAATATCAAGCTTGATGGCTCTGCTGTTGTAGAGATCAAAAGATTATCGCCTTCGCCCTCCAAAGGGAGAATATATTGCAAGGTGTGCTCTCAATCGCTTGTCTATTTATTGATCATTATATTATATCATTTCATCGATTACATACATACAATTTAATTTATTGGTGGCAATATCATATATCAGGCAACACATTATATATAAATTTACAGTACACATATAAAATAGAACTGACAATGCATACTATATTATTTTACATTAAACTTTCATATGTTATCTATAGTATTCTCATATTTATATGATAAATCTCCAATTAGCATCGTAACCTAAGCGCACTTTATGACATGAGTGGTTGCAGGTATACTATTGCAAGGAAGACGAGGTTTGTCTGTACCAGCCATTGATGTTTGAAGTATCTTTCCAAGAATATCAACCATCGAATGCTAATTCTACTGCTGAGATATCATTGAAGCATCTTGTGAAACCTAAATCTCCCACAAACGATCTCCCGACAACGAGATGATCAAGGAAGGTAATCAATCATATATAGTACTAATTAATACCTCCTATACAATGACATGCCTGCCTTCCGGATGAAGTTAACTTTATCTTAAAATGTAGTAAGTGATCGAACAACATTTCTTGAATGTTTGTAATCATTCATTTGTATGTCCATCCATCCATCCATCTATCCATTTGTTTGTAATCATTCATTGTATTTCATTTCTTAAATAAGTTGTACTTTATAAATAAGAGATACAAAAACTCGTCTAAGAAGTTAGCCGAGGGGTGAATGTAATATTTTGGCAAGATTGTGTACAAATTAGATTCATTGTAGGGTGTTTTTATTGAAAATTATTTGTCGGGGGCCTACTAAGATATCAGTAAAGCTTGACAAGCTCTTGCCTGTGAATTTTGAAGGTGAATTGAGATGAAAGAAATTATCAAAATAGAGGGGAACTAGAAAAATAACAAAGAAAAATGCAATTCATATGAAAATTGAACAAAAAGCATAGAACAAAAGAATAAAACAAATAAAAGAAACAAAAACAACAAAAAAGGATAAGAAAGAGTTGGAATTTTGAATTCATGGGAATCCTCCAATCTTCGTCACGACATGCATGCTTTCCTAATTTCTTTTTTTACTGATTCAAGATTGCATTAAATGCCTCTAAGTGATTAAATTATTTGTTTGTTTGATCAACAGTCCTGTATATTAGCCCAAAATATGTTCAATCAATTGAGTTCTTTTGGCCCAAAGCATCTTGCTAAAAACCTAGTTCCATTGGCCCAAGTACTATAAACCTCAAATCCAGGCCTAGTACAAAATAGAGCTTCCAAAATTCTTGGCATGTTAATGTAATAGTAATTCATTTGACTCGTCATCTAAACACTCCACTCCACTAAAATCTACACAAAAATACACATATACCGATTTATATTAAGCAATGTTGATCTTCACTCGCTACCCAACGAACTTTATTTAAAATTGAAGAACACACTAAATCCCATAAATATTGAGGTATATGTTAACTACAAATGTAAAATCTAGTAAAATTGTTCTTAAAAGAAATAGGATAAGGTCTAGCCTACAAGCATAAAAAGTTTATGTTGATTTTGGCTTATGATATTTGAGGCTCAATTCATTTATTTATCGAGCTCAATCCAATAAATAGAACCCCGATTTGTAACCCAACCCCACCCGACTCACTTATCTAAGAGGTGATGTTGTTCATTCGATTTAGGAATGCTAACATAGTAATTTCTTCATGCTTTATCTCTTGCGATATTGCCGTATCTCTCAATCATTCACTTTTCGCATGCCTACGTAACAAAATTCAGATAAAATTTTTTCTCAACTATTATTCGTTTGCTAAGTTTAGGTTTTGAGACCTCTCCATCAAACTATTAGTCTTTTGTCACATTTCGTAATTTTTCATCTACGGCTTTTGGGCTAAGCTGGATCTTTGTTTTACAATAGTAGATATTTTTAAAGAATACGACATTTCTTGATTCTATCATAGTTTCTCTGATAATCTCAAAGATATCCAATTTGTGAACTACAAAACTATAAGCACTACTTTTTAGTGTATATCCAATAAATATTTAATCTACCATCTTTGAGTCGATAGTGCATTGCTTAGGAGGTAGAACTTCCACTTTCGACATACATCCCTACACTTTAGAATATTTGTATATGAGTTTTTTTCTTTCCAAAATTCATAAGTGAAAAATCTTGGTCAGGATGTAATTCTCAATTAGAACTGCCACTCTCCATAAGTTTTCGGGTAATCCTGAACTTATCAACAAAAAATTCATCATTTTTTTAAGTGTTAATTTCTTTTGTTCAACAACACCATTTGATTAAGGTGAGTAAGAAACCATTATTTGATGAATTATGTCAATTTTGTTATATAATTACTCAAAATTTCAAATGATTTTCATTTTACATCCAAGTGATTTTCAACCTCACTTTTGAAGTTTTTTAAGAGTTCAATTGCTTCATCTTTTCTTCTTAATAGATAAATAAAGCATTACCTTGTAAAATCATCAATAAAAGTGATGATTTTTTTTTTAACATTTAGTTTGCACAAATTTCAAATCACACACATCAATATGGATTAATTCCAATACTTTAATTTTTCTTTTGACGGAAGACAATGATAGCTTAACCCTTTTAGCCTTCACACAAACTTCATATTTACTTTGTGTTGTTTACTTTTTTTAATATTTAATAAATTAATATGTACTAATTTTTTTTTTATAGCATTTAGGTTTTCATAAACCGAAATAGTCAATTAAATACAAAGAAAAGCATTGTGATTATTCAAAATAGATTCTTGACGCATAGTCATTAAATCTAGTTTGAATAAGCCATATTAAGATAACCTCTAACTAACATATATATATATATTTTGATAAAATAAATTTATCATTACAAGGACTAATTTAAAGTCATGTTTTACAAATAGCAAATCAAATACGAGATTTTTTTTGATGTCATATACATGTAAAAAATCCTTTAATGTGAGCTCTTTTTCCGAGGACATCTTTAACACTACATCCCACATACCTTTGATCTCGGAAGTTGTTGGTTTATCATATATAACTTTCTTCCTTCAATTTCATTATATTTCAAGAAATTTGTCTTATAAGAACATATACAGTACATAACTTCAGTATCAATAAATCAAACACTTAACTTTTAATATGATTACTCCCGTATACCACAATAACAAAAGCATCATTTATGAGGTCACAATTAGGGATGTCAAATGGGGCGGGCTAGCCCCAGACCTGCCCTAGATCTGCTCTTAATGAGGCAGGTTCGGGCCTAAATAATGTGCTCCAGGTGGGTTGTGAATTTTAAATTTTAAACCCGTCCGAATTCGAGATAAATTACGAATTTTACTAAAAACCCGCCCAACCCGGACCGAATACCTTTTTTAGTTATTATAACTAATATATCTATATTTATATAATAAAAATATATTATTTATTTATTTAAATAATTTTAAACATAAAACTCAATTAGTCGTCTGCCCCAACCTTAAATTCTTAATTTCTTTTTTCACCGCTGCTTTTATTATTATTATTTTTTCTATGTTGTGGTAAGATTACGCATTGTTTATCGCATACAACACACACACATATATATATCTTAATATTTTGAGTTTATAGTTTTAGTTTTTGGTTAGTTTACTCAACGATCTTACAACAATTAGTAGCAAATTGATTCACATCAAGATAAGATATTTTACTAAGTAAAATAGCATGTGTCACTGAATAATTAAACAACATAAATTAAGCAGACAAGGCAAAATCATAATAGCTACATCGTTACAAAGTTACCTTATTGTTTACACAACACAAACAATTCAAAAATAAATGAAAAATATGTAGAAAACTAGCAATATAGAATGAAGAATTAAGTCATTTACCCAACATATCTAATATTCACATGTTCTACAGTAGCAAAAATCTGCATTTCTTTTACGTTTTTTTTATACTATTCACAGAAGCAGGTTATAACGTTTATTGTCATATTACAATTTTTTATGTAAAAGTATTAATTTTTAATTTTAATTAATAAAATATAATTTTTATATTATTATTTTTATGCAATTGCAGATGAAATATGAAGAAGCAGATAATTCTTTACCATTTGTAGGTATTTCAAATTTTTATGTAAATATTCCCACAAATGCGATTGAAACTTTGAATATTGATGAAAGTAGCATCAAAAGAAAAAGAACGTCCGAGGGTTGGAATCATTTCAAAATAATTAAATTAGATAATATATCATATGGCGAGTGCAAGTATTGTCAAGTTCGTTTGAAAGTGCCAAGTGATTACGGGACCAATCATTTGTCTAAGCATTATGAGAAGTCTTGTAAAAAAAGACCAAGAAAGATGGATATCCGAAAAGCTTTTATCAAAACCACTAAACATATTGATGGAACCAACAATCTTCAAAGTTACATGTTTAGCCAAGATGAATTGAGACGTGAGCTTGCTATTACGGTTATTCTACATGACTATCCAATTTCAATGGTTGATCATATTGGATTTAGAAGATTTTTTACAAGTCTTCAACATAATTTCACGGAATACTTTCAGGAATGATATCTTCAAAATAAAAAAGGTAAGTGTTATTCATTATTGGATAAGCTTAAGTGCCGAATTGCAATCACTATTGATATGTGGGCATCAAGCAATAATAAAAAGGTTTTTATGGAAATCACTGGTCATTTTATTGATGACTCGTGGATCCTTCAAAGTTTTATATTTAAGTAACTTTTATTTTAGAATTATAATTTTATATGTATTTACATGCATAATACTAATTAATTGTTAATTTTTATAGGTTTATTTATGTTCCGGCTCCTCGTACAACTGAAGTATTGTCTGAAGTTCTTGTGGAATTACTATTGGATTGGAATATTGATAACAAATTGTCAACAATTACCGTTGACAATTGTTCTACCAATGATGCCATATTCCGTCATGTTCTGAAAAATTGTGGAATTACTACACATGTGATGCTCAGGTCATATTTTAAATTTGATTGTGAAAGACGGTCTAGAAATAATAAATGATGTTATTTAAAAAATCAAGATAGTGTTGTTTATTGGATTGTTTCACCTGCTAGAGTTGAAAATTTTGAGGAGGCTGCACGCCAATTGCATATTGATTGTAGTAAAAAGCTAGTTCTTAATTATAAAACTCGTTGGAGCTTGACTTATTTGATGCTGGAAACGACTATTCATATAAGGAACTCATTCCACGAGTTAAACGTCGAGAGAGGCATTATGATAGAGTTCCTAGTGAAGAAGATTCGGAGAATGCGAAAAAAATTTGTGCAAAGCTGAAACCTTTTTTTTTTTTTATCAAACCACGAAAATATTTTCTAGCACTCTTTGTCCTGCATCTAATTATTTCTTTCAAAAGATATATGATATCAATTTGAAATTAGATGAGTAGGCGAAGAGTTCAAATATGATGCTTAATGACATGACTTAAAACATATTGGTGAAATATGAGAGATATTGGAATAGTTGTCATATTATATTGAATTTTGTTGTTGTGTTGGATCCTCGATACAAAATAAAGTTGGTTGAATTATATTTTCCGTTAATATACAGTGATAATCAGTAGGAAATATTGAGGAAATCCAACAATATTGCTATAATTTCTTGCATGACTATCAATCTAGGGATACATGTTCAAGTATTGAACATTTATAATGCTTGGATTTGAGAAATGCATTATCTTATAATTCTACTTGTGACACACTTGAGAGTGATACTTTAGCTTTGTATGATCAATATATTGAGAGTGTCAACATCTGAATT